GAGTTGAAGCCGCGGGGCCGTGGAACGGCCGCCCGCTCCCGTTGGTCCTCCTCTGCCTGCCCGCCTCCCAGTCAACGCCCCACGCCGCGGTGGTGGCTGCCCCGTGGCCGACAGCCCCAAAGGACAACACAACTTCCGTTCCGCCGTCAGCTCTCGCTGTCACGGCCGCCGGCGTCCCAGCAAACGGCACAGCTGCATCACACCGACAGCCCACCAGTCGCGCGTCCCACACTACTGGCGCCCTTGCTGCCCTTGCGGCGCTCCTCGACAGACCGTAAAGTGTTGGGGAGAGTAGAGAAGCGTGTGCAGGCCACAGTCACCGCCGGCAGCAGAGCTCAACAGCACGAGGAGAGAAACACAAAGGCAGCACACAAACAAAACAGCAACAGTCGGGTGTGGGCGGTGAAACAAACAAACAAACAAACAAATATTAAAACAAAATAAACTCCAGTTTTAAATTCGCCCACCGCCGCCGCCGCACCGTCACACGCAAAGTGTGTGCCGGCCGGGCGACGGCACGTCAAGATATTGATGCATAACACGACCAGGGCGGCGAAGCGCAGCCCCACACTCCGAGGGTGTGGGGGTGTTGCACACGCAGTAAAAAAAAAAACAATGATAGAAAAAACATGATTACTCATGAATCGTTTGCCTTACGGACATTTCAAACAGAAGAGAAGGGCGGCGTCCCGCCACCTTTCGTTTTCTCACTCAGACCTCAATCACAGTTCAGCGCACAGAAAACAGGCAAACAAACAGTACAACACGCGGCTGTGGGCGCGCAGTGGAACTGGACAGATGGAGGGGAAAAACATATGCGGCGAGGGAACAAAAACAAAAACAAAAAATGAAAACAAAAACACGGAGGGAAGAGACAAGGCGTGGTGAGGGAGAGCCACCACCGAGGGGGCCCCAGCAGAAGGTGGGCCAGTGTGTGCCCTCAATTCGACACGGGCTCTCGGACCCTCGATGGCCCCTCGCCGCCCTCGTCCTTATCGCTGGCCGACGGCTCCTGGGGCCTGACAGCAACACCGTCCACGTCAATGTTGTCGCAGATACGTGCACTCGGAATCAGCAAAAACGTCAATGGGATGTTTATGAGCGGACAGAGCATGTGCCCCACAATCAGCAGGTAGGGAACGTTGGTAAAGTCGCAACCGACCTTGGGATTTGTGTGGACGGGCCACTTCAATTCCATCAACAGCGAGCCGATTATATTCGACACGACCGACCCAAAGTTCGAGAACCCGGCAAGCAGCGCGTACGCCATGCTCTCTGTCCCGCGCGGGCACATCCGGGAAATCAGAATGACACCTGGCATGAAGTTCATCATGTGACACACGTTGAAGAGGACCTGATCACCGAACAGAAACATCACATTGTCGCTGATGCGCGGACGGTTCCAGCGCTTCACAATGATGAGGTCAAAGATGCTGGCCGCAGCCATCACAAGTGTGGTGATGATGAATGTGAAGCGGTAGCTCCGCTTCGAAAACACGTATCTGAACAGCGTCACGCCAACGATGCCACCGATGTTTGAAACGACGCTTCCAACCGTGTTGTAGAATACGTACGAAAAGTGCGGTCCGTCGGGGAGACAATCAGGCTCCGCCATGAAAAAGCTGTCCATCGCGCCGGGAAGCTGAAT